GAAGAGGCGTTGAAAAGATCTAGTCAGCACCTTGTACTCTTATGGAGTCTTTACGGAAAGTTCGAGCCAGCTAACTTATAGCACATGTTGAAGGCATACGCGCTGCCCCCTGTGGAGTGCGCTGGTTTGTCCCACGTTCCTTACCAACTCAGGCGGTAAGCCACAGTTTCTTACAGCGGTAAATACCGGCGTTAGCGAATCACACCCGTGACAACCTGTTGCAACACGGATACAGTAAAAACCTGGGAGGACACCAGTACTAACTGGCCATGCACTGCAGCTGACTTGATAGTCCATAAAATCTTTTTCTCAATTCAAGTATCCCGAACCTGAAACCCTCTGCCAACTTAAGTCATATTTGCTCAAAGATTAACGCTTTCCAAAACGACCCTTTGTTCCATTTGCATTACATGGTTTAGTATGATTCACATTTGAGGAGGAAGTCACATACTAAAGGCTATGGCTCTCTAGTACTCTCCATGTTGTACCTATGTGGATACTTGCATCAGACTGCATGTAAATAGCTCGGTGGACAAATTGAAACCGGAATTTCTGTTTTGGTACATTATTTTGTTCGACATTAGTTTTCTAACGATGGAGCTGATCGTCCTACGGGATTTGCCAAGTAATCCCTATTTTGCGTCTTGTAAAGCACTTCATTTTTCACACACGCGAGCCACTGTTATTGCTGGGTGTGGAGTAGAATTAATGTTCCCTCTCTGCAGCGGATTCGTCTTCTAGCGCTCCCAAGACTGATCGGATAAAGAGATCGCGCACAACTTCGTCTATTCGGTTCACATAAGTATCGATCTTGATAATCTCAGTCAGTTCAGCAGTCAATAATTCAGATGTTAATGATGATCCGGATGTTATCAAAGTTGATCTCATGACCTGTATCTATAGGGTGCACGCTGCTGCAGAATACTTAAGTAGAGCAGCGCAATTCGGTGACCGTAACATGCGCCTCTTGTGCTATGCTATCCTGGTGCGTAACTCTCGCGCTTTGGCGTATGCACACATGTGCGCAGTTTCACGACTAAGTACATAGGCCTAGTTGGCCGACGTATCTGCAGGTAGGGGGCACTTCAATTACATCATTGTCAAGCGGAACGTGTAGACGTTTTGAAAAAAGCATTTTCTTTTCCTTGTTTGGTGCTTTGTGGAACGCTTCTGTGTGCATTACTACTTGGAGCTACTGGGACCGTTTCATGCATCCCTTGATGTGCAACTGTGAAGCTGAACGCTACTTAGTTTCTACCTACTTTTCAAATGTCGCAAGTCTCTTCCCATTTTTCTATGGATCGCATATGTTCTCCGAGTTGGAAAAGCTGCACAGAGAAAATTTTGTAATATGGGTGTTGACTAGTTGGAGCGTAGAGAAGAAAAGTTCTTGGCGCTAACTGGGTGACACAGTTGTGATTTGAAAAGCGCAGTAAGAAGACGAAGACTGGCAAATACACGCATTTCGTATTGTCTCATCAGTGCTTTTAACAATAACGCAATAATCTTTATTCAGTGAAGAGTGCGACCAAACATACATGCAAACAGACAAACAGACCAACACGCGATAAGTGAGACAGGATTATCACCCCTATTCCCAAGGCAGTCTAATGCTGACCGATAATCGTTTCTGAACACAAAGCGGCGACTTAATCAGGTTAATTGCAATCGCCTCTGCGTAACGGAGGAAGCGAGAATCGGTGTGCTGCAATAGGATTGTGGAAGCCGAATTAACCTCGACTCGGTGACCTGTGGTCGATAAGTGTCGGCCGATTATCAAACGGTGTAAGAAATTTGAGTTTCCTGATCGCGTGAACCCTCTTAAGGAAACCATAAGCTTCAAGATGGAATCGTAATCTTGCAATAGCACATTACCATTCCTTGAATGATTAGTCCGTGGGAGTTGGGGTAACCTATAAAACAGCGATATTCCCCAAACTGACGGACACGTGGGGTATTTCCCTATACTTGAGGTAACCCGAACTATGTATATGTGGGGACCGTCTGATCGATATCACATAACCCACACACTCACTACAGCGTAGGAGGATAAAAGGGTTATTCAAAAGCATGCAATGAAGCAAATAATAGATAGCGGATATCCGATCCAAGTGTTAAAACTGTAGTTGCAGGTGGTTCTAAACACTTATCCAGGGCGTACCACAGGTTCGATTGGGGCAGCATGGATTCCTTTAACATGTTGACTTCAGAAACTGTTCATAGGATTTAAAGAAAAAAGTGAAGAGTAGTTATCCAGTAAGATACACGATATTTTTATCACTGGTGCATTTACTTGACTTACACCCCACCGACTGGAAGACCATTTCCGCCTACCAAATTATCCACCAAAACTGCCCACATGTGTACATAGGCTAAACAGCCAGAGAGGTATGCACGAGGATGGCTAAACACAAGAGAAGTATATGACTGCTATCGCACCAATAGCTTTAATACAAGACTTTGTGGAGGGTTTAAGCAGTAGTGGTGTGCGCATTAGACGTTATGCATGAAATCAACTTGTAAATGTCGACATCATTAGGAGACGGTTGTGTGCACACACACCAATTTCTAACTTAACTGCTGAGGCGTTGGAAATTGTCAAAGTCAACAGATTCGTAAACAGAAGAGATGGGACGGAGTTATTCAACATGTAGCGGGCTGACTCAACCCTGTCAGTCTGAGAACCGTCGGCGGACGGATCTGGGGCAGATCGCGTACATTATGACCCTTCCACCTCCATTGCTGATAGAGACTTAAGTGTGATAACATTCTAAATAGCAAACTTGGGTCTTCCTATCCCTAAGATGCCATTTGAAATGACTCTTTTATATGTAATGTGGTTACTTTTCTAATTTCAACGCGGTCGCCTCGACTGTTGTCACAGTTTGCCATAAATTACATGCCGAACACATGCTGGTTCACTTAACGTGACAAAGAAATAGTGTCAAAAGCAAGACGTTGTTCTCCAGTTACACCAAACTATTGTTTTCAAATTCTTCCGCAATCACGGATTCTCGTTCGATTCTAAGCATATTTTAACATGTCTTAACCTATTGCCTACAGGCTATTTCTTGCTTTTGGCTTACCAGTTTGCTTTACCATCCATTTACTTGTTAGCTTGACTTGCCGAAATGCTCGTAGTGTGAGGTGATAAGTTTAGAGTCGAGCGTTTCAAGTTATGTTTGAACAGCAACTCTGGACAATTGTAATAGCTCAGCAGCGCAGTAAACTTTTCTTTTGGGTACGGAGCGATCAAATCTGCCAAATGTTCTAGTTTACATGACAGCGGTAAAAATAGTTCATTTTTAGGGACATCGGTCAACCGTTTGTTTACATTCTTCGAGCTCGAGTGTCACACTATGAATTTCTTGGTATCCCCATTTTTATGTACAGTCAAGGAGATCCTTTGAAGCACACATTCGATCGTTACCCCAGAGCTGAATTTTATGAGCCAGGACTGGTTTGTAATACATAAGACAGCAACTGTTGATTTGGATTTGAGTTACAAGGATCATGGTGATGACAGCTGAAAATCCGTCTTCAACTGCGAATTAATTACGGTATGGTAGGTGTTTGCAGTACCCAGTAGACGCCTCATTTGATAGTCACTGTCGACAACAAAAAATATTTCAACTATGTAGCGATTAAAGGCATGAAAGATTTTACATAAGGACGTAACTGAATGTTTTCCAAGTGGTCTAGGATGATGTCAGCTAAAACGAAATCCAGTTAGCTTCACCAGAGTTACACAACCGATCTATCGACATAGGGTGCGATCGCAACTAAACTCGACGTTCTTCGAACTTAAGTGTTGTATTAACTTTAGGTGGTAAATTGTAAACACGCACTTGCCGCTTGTACGACTACTGTGTTCAGTATCAGTTTTAGGGCAATGACGTTGAGATAAAATGCTTTCAAACTACATTACATGCTCGGATTTTCTTGGCAAAATCAATTGTGTACTTGAAAGTGTATCTGGCTAGTTTGTACCAAATAGGTTCAATAGTTTCGGCTAACATTTGTTACGGTGCCTTGGCAACTGAAACGATTGGATACATAAGGAGTCTTGCCTAGAAGTCTTCGCTTAGTTATACACATAGAAGAGTGAAGACCCATGAGGATAAAGCCGTGTTTCAGTTCGTCCGCTTATCCCTCCACTCTTCACCGGCATTTTTAATTTGCGAACTAGAAATCTGTCGACTTGTTCGGTTCTGTCGCAATGTGTCACATCGAGAACTAAGTGGCCAGTGCCAACTAGAAATATTCATCCTTCGAACATAACCATTTTCCAAGTAAACCACTCAGGTTCCCATTTCTGGCCACAGTATTATCACATTTTTGTTTCGTAGTAATTACGTGAACAGCTCACAGTTTGTCTGATTAAATCTATGCGCCATTCAGTTTCTGCAGTAGAATGTATTTTTACTAGTTTCATATAAATAGCTGAGAAGACGCGAAATAGCTGAAGTTAAACTGTCCAATCGTAATCTGGTTTATTCTTGTCACATTGAAAAAGAGACAAATGGTGTCACAATAATTTACATGTCAGCACTTTTAACTTGAATCTGTTTTCCCTAATTTCTAACTTTGTGAAAGGAAGTAGTCTTTACCGGTGTTATTCGATCAACATACTGTGCATAAAACATTCAGTAAGTCTAGTTGAGTTCATCAGCCTTGTTAAAGTTATCCGTAGAGCACCATCCTCCCATTTAATATAACGGCCGGCCAAGTGTGTAGAGATAGACGGTCTGTTGCAGGAAGCTGTCTTCCAATATGCATGTTCCGTTCCTTTACACTCATATTCATCAAATGCATATATTTAAAAAGCGATACAATTTAAAACTTACGTAGCGTTTTGTATTATGGCTATGCGTTACATTAAGCTAGCGATCCAGATTTAACTTACACCCCTGCCATTTTACCAGATAGATGCTCTCAACATGCATTGATTTCAGATTGGAACAGGAATCCACGCAAATTATCAGCAAAACTCCACTTACGCTTCGTAATAATCCACAGTTATCATGGTCCTTCCGCCTTCGTTCACATAATTTCCGCAAGGCGAAGCGGCTGACATAGAGTTGAATTACTGTGTTTCCGGAATAACTGCGGACATATAAGTTGTGAATGAAAACAACCCAACAAGACACTGCGACGGCATCGATTTGGTGCGTGTGATAGAGATATGAGCTCTATAGTGCCTGCCCCACGACTGGATTGTGCAAGAGTTCACACCACACGGGTATCATGTTTTCGTAAACGACGGTGTTCCAAACTCTATTAGACCGCAGTGAACTGTGACTATGTACTTTTGCCAAATCAGATTACTGATGATGCGCTTGCGTTACTCTAGTTTTGAATAACTCTGACATGTTTGACTATGCATTCGTTTAATACGCAGTATTTTTCCAACCCATAGTGCGTGCAAGTGGCCTGATTTATGTTTTCGGAGGGATGAAAGTCTAGATAATGTTCCTTTGCAAAGCGTCACTATCTCGGTGTAAACTTAAGGCCACCGCTTTCCCAGTTAGTGGGTCCAAGTAAGTATAATATCTATTGCTTACCTAGGACTTGTGCAATATGAATGAGTGAAAATATGTCACATTAGGTAATCAAACGGAAACCTGTCAATATATTATTACCCAAAAATTTCTTGGTATATTTCCCAGATACAACGATAGCACGAAAGCTGGATTCACACAATTAGTAACATTTGAAGTCATTTCAGCTTCCGATATATCTTCATATAAACCGCAGCAGCCATATGCTTGATAGTGCACTTGAGTTAACAAAGATTAGAGGTCATGAGTGACTTGGATCATCAAGAGGTTTTGTAGTTTATTTCCTTACTATGTTCTTCCATATCTGATAGTTAAACGTGTTGTGTATCGCAATCATTTCTGAGACAATTTTCATTTCGAGGAGATTTCGAAACTCTGGTGCTATGGTACTTGATGTAAGTCAAAAAGTCCTTATTGTCTATTACTATTAATCACTAGTATACATTGGGGAATAGAAAATCGATGGCGCAGTCGGTGGGTACCACAAGAAACACCCTGTAAATCCCGGTTTAATGAAGAACAATGAACAATGACTTATCACGGGTAAAAAAACATGTGCTTGACAAGTTCCGTAGGATAATTAAACATGAATCTTTAAAGGATCATCGAACAAGAAAATCGTTATTTTAAGCCTCTACCGATGTAAGTGCATTAATGGATAACGATAGTTTGAAATGGCAGTAGGATGTGCACACAAAATAATATACTGCTTTTGTATTTCAGTAAATACGTGAGAAATAAAACAGGAAACGACAACGCTCATTCGTGTGTTGCTTCATTTGACAGACGTGGTCGGTTAATCCAGTTTAGATACATCCAGATTACTCACCGAGACACTTCTGCATGTATCCTCACCGCCACATTGAGGAGAGGGCCGCTGAGCACATAGTTAGCTTTGCGTTATTTCGTCCCCCAAGTGAAACGGACTATATCATGTAAGACAAGTTGGAAAGCGTTTCATCAAGGCGATTTTTGAATAACGTTAATGTAGGGGCTAGAATAACGTGAGTCGGAAAGGCATTCCAAGCACAGGACACATGGAGGGAGAAAATATTACGTCGACAATCAAGCGGACTGTAGTGCGCAGCCAGTTTAATGTGACACTCAACAAGTCCCGTGTTGGCGTTTTCAGTTTCACTTATATATCAGCTTGGCCTGAAACTACGCAGTTCTGTAAATTCGGGAGAAACTAGATGATCCACTCAATCCTCAGTCATGGTAGTCTGAAGTGGCAAGCTTAAGAAAGTACTCGGTTCCACTGAAAGCAAAGTTGATATAATCTACGTACTTACTGGGCTTCTTTAAGGAATAATACTACGGTGCTGGTGAATGATTCTTTTGAGATTTCATCAGTGAAAAGTAACTGGAACTTAGGGTGGCGATTAGATACCACACCGATTGTGAATACTAAATAACTAGATTGCTGCAAGGGTTTAAAATGTTCTCTTTCGCGGAACGATTAATTTTATAGGGAATTTCATTAGCATGCGATGTATGAACCTTTGCCTAACATGCATCAATAGTGCAATGGTTTGTGAGATACTGCTAAGCAACGGAGTAGTGGGAATAAAGATTGGTCCCATGTTTTCGGAAGGGATACCATAAGTACTTTTGTAGATTGTCGAAGACTAAGAGTTTTGGTCATACTTTGCAAGAAAAGAAACCTTCTTACTGAAATCAAAATGTAGATAGCTTTCGCTGATCCTTTTCTCGGTACCTTTTTCCGAAAATTAGCGTATATCACCAGAAAGAAATTTAGGCGAATATTTCGATTGGTTTTCTATAAGAATAGTAGACATTATGTATTAAGGGTGGAAGAGGCTGAGGAAGTTGTAAACTGACAAACTTACAGATTGAGAATACTTAAGCATATTTTGCACTTAAGAGGAGTGAGGTTGTATTCCAGTCGTCGACAAGTTGGAGGCAAAACACCATTTCTCATGGGTAAGCGTTGAAGGGTGCCCTGTGAGCATTATGGAAAATGAGCACTGGATATTTTTCAAAACAATCCTGGCTATCTCCTGTAAGTGTCTGTGTATGATAACGCAGTACTTTAGTTTAGGTCGCCATATGAACTTGAAGGATTCAGGCCGAGTTCTGGGTCATAAAAATGACCTAGCGATGTAGTTTTTCTTTACTTCGCCATCACTACCTTATGTAGGATGTGTTCGAAGAAGTTAAAGCTGTTGTTGTATGGAATTCCAAAGTCCCGAAGGGAAGACACAGTTGGGACTTGGTACCAGTAAGATAGGTGAATCAATCCGGCATACATATCATCTGAAATTTATCCACAGAACACCTCACTAATCTGTTTTCGCTACATTTTGTTTACTGTTGGCAGGTCTTCTCACATCCCTTTCAGGTAGAGTTTCAATTTCTCAGGTAGAAATGCGTTCACTAGCTTGATGTCGATCGTAAAGAAACTTGGGGGCCCGCATCTAATGTAACCGCATGCACGGTTTAGGCAAATAAATAAGTGAATAAAAGTTATATTCCCAATGTTACGCGAAGCACACCAAATAGAATATAATCAGTTTTGTAGAAGCAGATACTCGACAATTAACTTTGGATCAAATGTAAATCCTGACAACGTAACTGCGACGATTCTTTCTAGCCCGTGGATGACGGACTGACAATTCAATAAGCAGCATTATACACTGTCTATTACCGCACTGAAGATGCCACCTCGCATGGTGGTGAAACGCATGCGATCTCTTAACCAAGCTCGGAAAAACGATAAAAAGGTGAGCAATGTTAATAGCTATTTACATGTTGGGATAGCGAACTATTTTTCGCAGGTGAAGGTGTCAATAGGCGCGAATAATTATATAAATACTTATCGCAACTAAATGTTGAATCAGTGAATCAGATTGAGTTTTGGTCAGTTGGACTGATTTGACCTTGAATTGAATGCTTGTAGCGCTATCCACAATATCTTCTCGTCCATTTTTCTCCCGCCAATCATAAAATATTGTGTCAGGTCTCCTATCTTTATCCAGTTGAGTGATCGTGAGCCTCATGGCATTGCGGATCGGAATCGCTGATTAAGGAACCTCCGCTGTCATCACAATGTTCCACATGTGCCAGCCAACATGCCTGAAACAGTTAGGAAGAAGGGGAACGGACAACTGGCAGACGAACAGACAGTCAGACGGAAATGTAATGGAGGCACTCAAAGTGAAAGCATCCAACAAAGGATTAACCACTGACAGATTATATATTAGGTATCTTTGTGGCCATAAATGTTATATATTTATATGAGTTCTTACGAAAGGATCAGCAGCCGGAAATGCGAAGAGATGCCAGTTGGGGCTAGACACCCGGTAACAGCTAGGAGTGCAATGCGTTGCAGCGTGCATAGAGTACGTAAGTGTCATTATGCACGGTGCTAATGTGCTGCGTCGCGCAGGATGTTTAAGTCTTCCCAGATGTCTATGGGAAGATAGCTAATGCAGGTTAAGTAATAGCAAGAAATTTAGGGAGGCAGGGTCCCCTTTTACAACAAACTGAATAAGCATTTAACAATGTAAAACCTAGGTGAATATCATCGGATATGAGACTACGATTCTGCATCGCGCAGGGTGAATATGTCCACCTATCTTGCTAAGAGACGAGAGCTGGTGAAATTACAGTCATCAGAAGCAGGTCATGGCGCTGAACGCTGGTTTACAACGAAGGGTCAAATTGGTTGGGGCAATTAAGTGGATACGTGAGCAAGAAAACGTACGAAGCTAAGCCGCCGCGTCGCGCAGTGTACATCAGTCTTCCTTCCTTGTTGGGAAAAGCGAGTGATTACAGGCTGAGAAATAAAAATAAGAGGTGGGGCGGGGTGCCCGTTGTACGGCGAAATGCCAGCGCGGTTTGAAGCAGTAGGAGGTAAGGTGATTACAATTAAGGAAAATCAATGGACGCCATAAACTTCCGTGAACGACAACACTAGTGATATTTAAGGAAGCAGAACCGTATTAATCTCTCTGTATTCTTTGCGATCGGTCGGCTCAAGAGAGGACTGCCGAGCCCATAGGACTCATGTGCTGTCAGTAAGCAGTGTTGCAGTAAGCCGTCAGACACATTTTACATAATCAGAAGGATTTTGTTGATGTTGACAGAACATGATCAGGAAATTATAACTGTCATGCGACAAAGCAGTTTCGTACGGTGGTGTCATGTGAAACCAGCGAGCTGGACGATTATGGGCAGGAACGCTGAAATGTGAGAAATAACCGCTGACGCGGGCTGTACAAAAAGCCTCGCGCAATGGCCAAGAAAGCGATAGCAACGAGGAGTTGCCAAGGGCTTGGTAATACTATTTCAGGTAAGATTTAAGCTGAAATTTGACCCGTGATGAAAAAGATTTTGACCGAGACCCAGACTTTACTTCTGGACCTCGGAGAGCTAGCACGAATTCAACACGATGTGGTTTGTAAATTACCTACGGCTCTTTTATATTACTACACATATTTGGTCCCTCAGTAATTTATTTACCTTGGAGTATTAAAAATTTGTAAACACTCTCACAAAGTTTTGTC